AGGAGAATTCGTTATCTTTAATGGACATGAAAAGATAATTCATTTAGTAATATTATTTAAAAAAATGGGTAATTTTGGTGTGTTATCTTTTATTATTTTAAATTAGACTAAATGATTTATATATTTAAACAAATTTTATTAATATTTAAGAAACAGTTAAATAATAGCATAAAGTTTTTATATGTGTATATTTTTAATATATGCCTTAATGAATTTTTTAAAATAAATCATTCAGAAAAATTATAATTATAATATTATTATATTAACATTGATGAAGTTCTAAATAGATTTTTTATTCACATTATATATTTTGTATGCTCAGCTAATACTATATATTTTGTATGCTCAGCTAACAGCATTGGATCTTGCTAAACAAGAGAACCTAGCAACAGTTGACTCTACTGCTAGTATGCACCCACAAAGTTAGGCCTTGTTGCCGAACAATGGTGGGCCTTGCTCTATCAAGACTCATTAACATTAATCAGGTTTGTTTTATTTAAAATTTAGCCTATAATTAGCTTGGAATAAATTTGGAATAAACTAGTTGACTTACTGGGTCAACTCGAAACTCGGGTTGCTTGACAAAAACTCGGTAAAGATCTTTTTTTAATTCAAATATATTTTTCCTCCTACCCAAAGACTTTTTTTATATATATATATTTTCAGTTAGTTACTAATTTAATTGAAAGTTCATTATATAAATATTAGAAGAATGTTTTATTTTTTTAATATAAAATTTGAAACTCTTTAGTATATATATATTTTATGCTCACAAGAAAAAAAACTTATATTTTTTTAATATAAAATAAAAAAAATTTGATTTAAATATTTCAACTTAGAAGAATAAGATAGTTTCTTTTCAATGTAGAATAAAAAAATCTTTTGAAATAATGTTTTAACTATAATTGTTTATAACATGTATAACTTATATCCACATAGATTATTTTTTAATTTTTTCATATAAAATAACAAAATATCAAATATTTTTTTAAAAGTTTTCTAAGTAACCCGAGGCCTTGGCTGAATCTGTTTCATTCAAAATCTAGACCTACAATTAACCTGGAGTAAATCAGTTGACCCTCCAGTCAACTCGAAACTCTGATGACCCGACAAAAACTTGGTAGAATATAATTGAAAGGAAATAACATGATATGACCAATTAAAAAACTAAAAAACTAGACATAATCTCCTTTCTTTTATTTTGTTCGGGGGCCTCTTTTAAAAATATTAATTTTTTTATTATGTGTTTAATTTTCAAAGTGGTTTTTTTAGTTCATTTATGATTTTGTTTTTATCTTTTATATAGATAAACTATGTTTTTAAAAATAAAAAATATTTATTTTTACATGATATTCTTAACATGGATTGCCTTAGATGTTATTCATTCTTTTTTTTTATTCAATCAATTTAATATTTTATTTTTCAAGATTTAATATTTTAATATATATTTGTCTATCAATTTCTCAAGCTTTGTTTTTAGATGTCATTAATAATTTTTGATTGATTTATTAATATACATAATTTTTAGTTTATATTATTACTTTATATTATTACATATATACATAAATTTTTTTATTTATTATAATTTTTGAACAATCAAAATGTGTTGAAAAAATATGCATAAATAAAATTTTATAAAAAATAAATTTTTTTTACCAATGATGGAGGACGAGTAACATACCTAGTATATATATATATATATATATATATATCAAATAACCATGATCATGAGTAGATTCCATAAATTACTAAATAAACAAACAATGAATCTTATAACATAGTTTTTAAATTTAATTGGGTAATTGATCTAGAAAAAATTATAATCTAAAAAAGTTTACCCGAGCTGAGATTAATTGAAGTCCAATTGATTCATCTAGATATTTAGTGATTTTATTAATTCAATTAAACTAAATTAGGTAAATTTAAAGAATTTTCTTTAACAAAAACAAAACAGTATTATTTTAACTAAAATAACTTAAATTAACGGGGATATCTCGCAAATTAATTTGATAATTTAAACTATTTTTTAAGTTAGTTCCTGATTTCGAATCGATAACTACAATCATTCTACACCTACACACTGTCGGAAAAAAGTAATGATATTCATTTTTCTCTGGAAAAGATAATAACATATCTCAACCTGTAGATGACTCCTATTCGCCTAGCAAAATCAAGTGCATGGAAAACTATCAGTAACAAAAATACAAGGCATATTCCTTCTGCTTCTTCTTCTCCTTCTTCTTTGCCAACATGGTTCGTCGAATCTAACTTTCTATCTAGAACAGCTCCCACTATAAGAAATTAAAGGAAAACGATCACTTTTCTAAAGAGCCAAATTAATGTACTAAATGAAATTTGGACATGTTTTTGGGGTCCATACGCCGGGAGCCACGTTCCCCAGGTCTCTTCTTGGGGTCCATCGGCCGGGGACGACCGCATCGATTACCACGACGGTTATGGCCGTGGAGAGGAGCGAGAGGGTGAGTGCGTGTCGTTTCACGGTAACAGTTTTGCCTGTTGAGGGACTGTGGAGAGCGGGTGAGGGAGAGTGATTTACTGTGGTGTGGTATTTACCAGGGGATTTGATTTTGACGTAGTGCGAATATTGTCTGGAGCACCGACATGGGGGTCAGACTGGTTGAAAAACAATTTTGGAAAGGAGCATAAAGAGAATTGTTTTTGGTTTTCTTTTAAAAAGCATAACACAGCAAAAGTGTTTTTGCAATAGAGGTTTCTCTTAAAATAATTTTTTAATTATAAAAATAATAATAAAAACTAATCAATGATTTCAAATTAATGTGTAAAAAAAACTAAAGGCGTTATTAATATAGATGCATATTTAAAAGCAATGTGCAATAAAAAGTAATAAAAACGGCTTTAAATATACATTCTATTATTTAATAAAAAAAAAGCCGATGTGCTGCATTATTTTTTAGTTTTGATGATGAATAATAAAAATAAGGCCTGATATGAGTATTTAAATTTTATTTTAAAATATGATTCAAATAAAAAGATTTTAGTTTTTTTATTACTAAAAAAGATCCAAATTTAAGTATTTTTTAAAATCAAGGACAAAATAAATTTTTAAATAAAAATTAAGTTTTCCGAAAATACATGGACTGGATTACAGGACAAAGTAGAATCAAGATAATTAAAAGCACTTTGCAAAGTTAAGATTAACCATGAGGTTTCTTTGTTTTTTATATTTTGCTCCTTTCTCTTTTAATTTTGATTTTGAACTTAAGAAAAAAATATTTAGATTGTAAAAATATATCTGATATTATTATTAAATTTAATTTAGTAAATTAATTTTAAATAGTATGAGAGTTTTCTCAACGTGATTTAATTAACTTAACTAGTCCAAATATAAATCAATCATGACTAGAAAAAAAGTTTGAAGAGAAAATTGAGAAACCAAAAAAAAGAACAAAATTGATAGAAAAAAAAGATGAAAATTTTCTTTGTAAAACTTATTTACAATTTATGTATCAAAGATAATCAGTTAATATTGGGATAAGATATATTTATAAAAAAAAACACATGATCGATAGCTAAATTTGTCCCTATAATATTTCTCTAATTTGTCCTTGAATTTTTAATTTGATTGACCTTATTTAAATACATTCTAAGGTTCTAAATTTATTATTGGACCGGATATGTTTTGACAAATCCACTAAAATTAATTGTGGAATTGATAATCAATGTAATTTCAATATGTTGATTTAAAAATATTAAAAATACAAAATTAACATACTTGAAGAATAAAATAAATCTTTAATTTCATGATAAAAGAATAACAAAAACATAAAACATAAATATAGAAAAAAAGATGCATCAAGGCCGATATAAGAAAATAGATACTTATAAAGCATAAATAATCCCTAGAGAGCATAATTATGACATAGATGGAAACAACACAACATTAACAACAGGTATAAGCAAAATAAAATTCTACTAAATAGGGTTAATATACAAAAACTCCAAATTCAAAATCTTATTACGTAATATTTTCTTTTCTAGTATTCTCCTGAAATTCAAGCTAACCAACTTTGTTTTGTTCCTTTCTGTACCTAAGGTCTTCACTGGCTTCGCCGGATCTTGCTAAGACAAACCTTAGATGTTGATGGAGACAATCCTGTTAGAAATAGAAAGTTGGCAAAGGTAGAATCGGCATCTGTCCTGCCGGCTCAAAAGCCTGCCTAGACTAGGCTGCTTTAAATTAAGAATAATGGGCTCGGGGTCTTGTGGCAGTGAGAATGGGAATAAATTTATTTATTTTACACAATTCTTCTGGTAATGCCTTTTTCTTCTTTACTTTGTATATAAAAATATGCAATGATGGAGATGGAGTACTTGGGATCAGCCGAGTTCTAAAACTACGGAACCAGCTCCTTTTACAACGAAGAAAGAAGATCTAGAGCAAGAACCCTAATTGTTTGGAAGATATTGTGAGAAAAGTTTTTAGTACCTGTAGGCTGTAAGCTTGAAATAGCGTAGTACTGACTGACTTTCTATACTGGTTACTGCTATAGCTAGTATTAGTGCTGTGTTACTACTACTAATCTCAAGCCTGTAAACCAAGTAAAAATAATAAAAATATATAAAAAATAATGTTTTAAACTAAATAGAAACATAAATAACTAAAAAAATAAATACTTTTTTTTTCTAAATATCCCCTGGCATCAAACTACCTGCCCACAAGGGGCACCTATAAATGAGCTTTTCTGATTAGCGATTTCTCTACAAGGTAATAAGGAAATAAATTAGCAGACCTAATGATAACTCTAATGAGTTTGTAGCGTCCTTTTTTATTTCTTTCCATTTTTTCTTAGCCAATTCCTTATATATATTGCCTTCTTTTGATCAATAAAATCTATACATTATCATAAAATCTAATGATAATCTTATTCAATACACGGAATTACCAGCAGCCATAACAGCACAAATACATCTTAGCAGACAAAGCAAACACACATATTTTCTCATATATTAGACCCAAGTAATTACAAAATAAAAAAGAGGGAGAAGTTTTTCATCACCAAACTTAACGTTACCAATTGGCTAAGAAATTGGTTCTATTTCCAACACCCTGGAAGGACAATTTTTGCTGATGGAGCATCACCTTCGGAAATCTCATCGATTCTTTTCTCACCTACAAGTACACTGACGACTTCGGACATTTTAGGCCTGAGAGTAGGAGACAGATTAACACACTTCATTGCTAACAGCAAAACAGTGAGAGCCTGCTTTCTGTTGTAACTGGATGCCAATTTCTTGTCAACCAATTCAAGGATTCTTCCCTTATCGTACAAAACACTAGCCTGGAATTGAAAAGCAAGATTAGCTTAGCTCCGAGCATTAAGGAAATAATCAAGTAAATATTACTTATTATTTTCTAATCAATAAAAAAAATAAAAAAATTAAATAACTCTAAACAATTAAGAAATTATTTCAATCATCCAACCATCAACCATATTTTTTATATTTTATTTTATTTTATTTATTCATGTGTCTTGTTATATTATTATATAAACTTCACGAGTTAAATATAACACATATATCAAATTATCTAATAACAATACCCTTTTCTATTCTAAATTTCTTTTTGGTATTAAAGTAGGTTAATCATATATATCGCTTTAATATTTGTTTTTTTGATGGATAATTTTTTTCCATCCATCCAATCATTTTAAAACACTTTATTTTCAAGCTCTTTATTATTTACTAAATATTTAATTTACTATTTCTTTTCAATGATAAATCAACTCATGATAAGAAAAAATTATTTCAAGATCATGAATGATCAAATAACATCCAAAAAATTAAAAAAAAAGAGAGAAATGATTCTTTCTAGCAAAGCTCAACAAGAGAATTGAGATTCTATATTAAGAGAAAAACGTATAAAGAGAGAGAGAGATTTAGTGTAAGTTGATAAGTTTTTGCACAATAGATGATACAAAAGAGACCACCTATATATGTATATATAAAAAGAGATAGTTCTTCCTAACCAAAGAGATGGAAAATAACTAAAGAGTCATCATAAAAATAAAATATTAGTTTGACAAGCAGTAAGCTAAAATAAAATGGACGCTTAAAAGCTAAATTTTAAAAGAGATGTTTGGCTGTAAGATAATAAAAAAGGCTAAGAATAGTCATATTTAGAAAACTACAATTGTTGAAGATAAGCATACAATGATAATAGAAGCGTATGTCCAACTCAAGAAAAATAAAATTATTATGAGGGGAGTGCTGAGAAAATAATAAAAGTAAATATTATTGAGTATTTTTTAATTAAGAAAACGAAGAGATAAAAGAAATGAACAACTCTCGACAATCAAGAAATAATTTCAATTATCTATACAAATATAATTTATTTTATTTTATTTTTTATGTGTCCTGATATATGATTATATAAATCCTACCTGCTGAGTTTAATATAGTATACATTTCAAATTATTAAATAATAGTATCCTTTTCTATTGTAAATTTCTTCTGTGAGTTTGTTGCAGAATTCACAAGTCATTTTATGTTGACAGAACATGTTTGGTTTGATAATAATTACGAGGAAAAAAAAAACTAAAAAGGTTTATCCTGCAAGATCCATTTACTTTACCCAGAAGAAACTAAGCTTCTTGGTTTGCTGTGTAATCTGCACTAACTTTCCCACTAATTATTTAGGTTTTGCAGAGATGTGTGAATCGTTTTAATTATGAGAACAATTAAAAAGAAGATTCTAATACCAAATTTCACACGAAACAACAAACAAAAGAATTAAAGCTGGAAAAAAAAAATAAACTTTTAGAAAAAAAGTTGATAAGAAAAAGCAAAAAAAGAGAATTGGAGAGATGTAAATTCTATAATTTTTCATTAATCATCAAAATTGTCCCTCAAAATAACATAAAAACATATAAATAGTAAACCCTAAAACATTCTGTTTTTGGACTCGGCCCATCAAATCAAACTATTTAACATAAATAATAAAATAACAATGAGCAGATCCAAATAGACTAAATAAATATGATAACAATATAATGGATCCAAATGAGTTTAGTTTCCCAATCAAAACATGATAGGTCGGGCTATTTTATACTGTTTCGTTTGATCTATATATTTTATATAGTTTATGGTGTGAATATGGTGTTCTACCAGCTGTGGAATTTGCACTAACTTTCCTGCTAACTATTTCGAGTAGGACAACTCCGAAACTGTAAACATCAGCTTTAACAGTTATTGCTTTTCCCATTGAATACTCAGGTGCCATGTAAACTCTGCAATAAGAGATTATTTATTGGTTAGCTCTTAATATTTAAAGAATAAAAGTAATTGTCAATCAATGATCATAATACTTACCGCGACCCTTTTGCTTTGATGGTCATAAATGGATCTTCCTCATCACAAAGCGTTGCCAATCCAAAGTCAGACAACTTGGCCGTAAGAGAGTTATCAAGCATAATATTACTAGGTTTTATGTTTCCATGAACAATCTTGAACCTTTTCTCTTCATGTAAATACCTCAAACCTCTTGCTATTCCCAGACAGATATCAAATCTAGCTCTCCAATCAAGTTTTGTCGTGGAATTTGGTTCTACAAATCAAGATTATTGATATTAAGTTATTGATTTGTTTGAGGGTGAAAGATTTTCCTTGGGCCTCTATATTTATATCTATTCGAAGAAAATATCAAAGTAAGAATTTTTAAGGTACTGTGGTGCCTAATGATTTTAGGTTAGCAAAGAGAGGTACCATCCATCTCGCTTTTCCGGAGCCAGCCCATTTTCCACATGAAAGCCAACAGAAGTAGAGGAGCAAATACTGAACCTGCAGTAATCCCTGCAATTTGTGAAGGAGATAGTCCCGTGCCAACTTTGAAGTCTGGATACAAATAGTGGAAGACAGAAAGAAAAAAATTATTTATCCAGATGAAGGGTAGCAGAAATCTTTGCTCAACAAAATTAAGAGCACGCAATTCTTACTTGCAGTTACGGAAATGCCTGACACAAGGGGTCCATTCAGAGACAGGGC